GTTTCCGACGAAGTGCCGCAGGAACTTTCGTAGTATTCAACTGCGAGTAAATCACCAGTGGTGGATATTAGTCGGTTCATTTGGATAATTTTTGAATCAGTGACCAGATTCGTCAACTTCTCAAACCGATCTGTTGATGACAGGAAGCAGAACAAGTCTTTGGTTCCATGATTAGTCTTTTTCGAGGTTGTACGATGTAAAAATTCCCTCCTGATGGGGGGAGGTGAATTGCACCCTTAAAATGTTCTTGCATCAGGTAACATAGCCGTACCTTTCGCACATTCTGGCATGAGTAGGGCTGAATGCTACGCCGATCCGGTTGCTCGCAGGTCAGACTACTTGCCACCTGTTTCTCCGATTGCAGCATCGAAGCAATGCAGCGTAAATTGCTAGCGTAATGGAATTAAAGAACTAGTGAATTTTGGCAGTGCAACTTGACACCTCCGGAGATCCAAGCCGACCTCTGATCACTGAATCAACCCAAAATAGCACAAGGGCTAGATTATTTACAAACAGATGCAGCATTTTGGCAGAACCGGCACCGATAATCAAACAAACAAGGAGAAATTTGAAAGCAGAGTCTGTTGGTGCCTTTCTGTAAGCAAGGAGGCGGTGCCCTTTCACGCAATAAATCATCTATTACGACCCGATGTGATATCTTTACCGGCGGAATTGGAACGCTAGCATGTCGTTTAATGTCAGGGCATACTTTTTCAATATATTTCCTTACGGATAGTGGCAGATTTGACTGGTGTTCATAAGTGTCCTTGTTCAGCTCATCTCAGAGATAAGATCGTACGTCCAATGCACTACAGGTTTTCAAATACCACTTACAGTGGCCTGCTGAAGTGATTGCCCTAGGTATCTAGAAGCAGGAGATCAATACACTCACGAGAAGTAAATCCAGTGTCTGAAATTGATGTTTCTTATTCTTCGCTTTGTTGTGAATGGAAGCATGATACGTGTCCCTCTATTCAACCTCTAACTGTCACTTGTTTATTACCATGTTGCTTTAGATTTCAATTAGTGATTATTCGTGTGCATGGCACCGTGTCGTGCAGCATTGGCCGCTCCTCTATTTAGTTGCTGTTCACAGGCTAGAATTCATAGAATCGTCATTAGAATTCTAATCGTTGGCTGTGGCCTCAATTGAGGTCGATGTCGCGAATTGTTAAGAGACCGACTTGGTACGACTGACTTTTACCGTACCGCTGTATGCAGATGTTTAAAAATACATTTCAATGGAATCAGCGAAGAACTCAACGACATTCATGATGCTGTAAGAGTTCTACAGTTTTACAGAAGGACAAATGCTTGTTAGTTTCGAACTCACGAAACATTCATTTCAGTGCCCTCAGTTACGTATTGTT